TGCCAAAAAAGTCGCCGGTTGACTTTCGTCAGTCTCTCATTGACGTATAATCAGCGGTGCGGAGCTGGTAGACCGGTGCCTTCGGTAGTGATGCCGCGGCGAACGCGAGTCGCCATCAACACTTGATCCTGAAGAGCGCGAACTATAGACCTCGGGCGCGACCATAGCACTGTTTATGAATTTATAGTAGTGTTATCATGATCATAAAAAGCATACATAATACGAAAAAACTGGCGCAATCCTCCCTTGTCAAAGACTAATGAATGCATATTTAGTTTACCGAGGTTGTTCGTCAGAGGCAGCACAATCGTCAGTTTGTTACGGCTTGTTTATAGCAGATGCATAATACAAATTTGTGATTTATCAGCATATATAAGCTCTCATAGAATACCAGCGTGAAATAGTGGCTTAATGCTGCTGTGTTTCGTATGGTGAGTGTAGAGAACCGGAGACCCGTTTTACTGGAATCGAGGCATTCCATCTTAGTCCTCTGGGATGAACTGAGATGAACGCATCTGCATTTGGATTTTTAATCGAGGTTAAATGTAGATGTCTATGGACCATAGCATCCACTTACCATCACGTGGACTGTGTGGATTGTCACACTAATTCTTTAAAAAAATCGGTTATCACTTCAATTTTATAAAAAAGGTTTCTCTTAGTTCTTTTTCTAATAATAAGAAGAGAGTCATATTTACACTGTAATTTTCTTTAAATTTTATTTTATTTTAAACTTATTTACATTACTTATGCATATTATATATCTTGTAGTTTTATCATGTAGTGGCGGTGAAAGGATATCCACTACCGCATACCATTCCGTGGGTGTCGTAAGAGGCGACAGATGGAAAATAAATCTGGAGATAGGCAGCAGCTAATAACGACTAAAAATAAAAACTGCGGTTGCCAACCGAATTGGCAAGCGTGGCAACTATGGCAAATATCCCCCCTATGAAGGAGGCCTGTGTTCAACAGTAGACTTTAATAGGTTGGTTGTAACCATAACGGTAACAGTAAATTTATACAACATATTAAATACGAGTAAGTTAGATCTTTAAAGCGGATAGATACAAAATTTCCGGTTGGAATTATATAAGTCAACCGTGGCCGTGGTAGCTCAGATGGTTAACGCTCGCTATAAATATAACAGAACGCGAGTAACCCAGGTTCGATCCCCGCAGGCACCAATGAAATTGTTAATTGTAATTTTAAGTACTGATTTACCACGTGCTCGGCGGTGAAAGAAAACTTCGTGAGGAAACCTGCATGTCTGAGGAATAATATAAAAAATATTTCAAAGACATGTGAAGTTCGCCAACACGCATTGGGGCAGTGCGGCGGACATTTCCTTGCCCTAAAACCCTCGCAGAAATGAGGGGAGGCCTGTGCCTAGCAGTGGGACGTATATAGGCTGTAACTTTACTTTACTAAACTTTCCCTAGGAAGGTTTTCCCTTAGTAAGGAAATTTTCCCTTAGAATTAAACATAATTTAAAAAGCGTTAAATAATATATTAAATAAGTGTTCAAATTTGTGATTGAAAAAAAAAAATAGCACGAATTCGGGAAATAATTGAAAATGCAATGATTGTCAAATTTTTGTTATTAAAAGTAGATTACGGACACAAAATCACCTTTGAGAGGATGAGTTTTAATTTTACCTGCTGCGGAGAGTAAAAAGCTATTAACTTTAAATGGGAAAAGTTAAGTTTGTTATTTGAACCAAAACGATATCCATTACTACGCAGACTGGATTGATACAAAAGCTGAAAGAAGTTCACAGCACCATGGTACTCTTAACTCCAGTTTATCACGTAATTTATGTAATTATGTAAATCGTCCCGTGGCTGTAGTAAGAGTGGGAACACACGAGCGGATGGGCAGCAGCGACTTACTAATAACAAATAAAAGAAAAAAGGTCAAGCGAGACCACTGTGACGAATCCCTCTTATGAGGCAGTTTATGGAGAGACATATCTTCACCAGCGGACCCTGATATTCTTTATAAATAAATGAATGAAATGTTACTTTAGCAGCCGTGCAGTGGCGACTTAAGATAATCCACTACCACATGTCACCCCATTGGTCATGTAAGAAACGACAGAAGCGAACCTAAAAAAGAAGTCCTATGTACTGCGGTGGACTTTTAGTAATCTGATTCCGAAATCAAAACCAAGAAATGTGCTCACTGATTCAATGGAAACAATGTTCGACTACCTTGTTTAGTAAGGAATGTCAGCTGGCGCATTTTAGAGAAGCTTACAGCAGCAGATATTGAAAGACTTGTGATCGTGAGGATTACTGTTCTACTCCAGTGTGAGTTGTCTTAAAATATCTTCACAATATTTTATTTGTCATACATACAGGTTTTCACGTGTTTTTTTATTGTGATGCGATAAGTCAGCGTTTAAAATTGCAATAAATATTTTTTTGGTAATACTACGGAATTCATAACCAGCGCTGTCAAAGTTCATCCGTTTTTGTTTAGAATGTTCGTTTTACCATGTTCATGTTACGGGGATCTAATAAACTAGCCAAGTGCATGCTGCAACATACAAGTGCCGCTGCAATGTTACCGGGGGAAACGTGAATGTAAATTTGTAATAACAACATTAATAAACGTTTTCTTATATTTACGCGAACGCTACACATTAAATAAAACTACTTTAACAGATTTTATTGCGTTTACTTTACTTGATTTTAATTTCCGACGTTTCGGGTGCTTTTGTCGTCGGGGACTGAGGTGATTAACGTCCCGATGTCAGTGTTAACCCGAAGTACCTAGCTTTTTAATTATTACTTATGGACCAATTTTCTGCGCAGAAAACGTCGGGAGTTAAAATCAAGTAAATTAAACGTTATAAAACTAATGTTATACAACATTAATAAAGTTGGAGAATTATAACCCGAGCTTAATGAACATACATGTATTCTTAATAAAAACGTTAACTCCACACTAGGGTTTTCTCCTGTATGGTGGTCGCAGTTTGCATGCATAAATTTCACAAGAACAAACATCCAGACCGGGAACAATTATTTGTAGACCATATACATACTCGGTATGTGCGGGATTTGTACCCGTGGCTTTTAGAGCTGAGTTGGACAATGCTGCCACTGCGCCACGGAGTCGTCAAAATTTTATTGTAAGTTACTGCACCTGTAATTATTGATAATCCGTAAATTTTTAAAATAAACTTGAGTCACAATTATCTTATCGAAATTTATTGGTGGTCGATCTAAATTCCTACAGCGTACAATTGTTTTTGGTTATGTGGCCTTACAGTCAACTAAATTAGACAGTACAACAGCTAATGCTTGTTGTTGGAGCACAAATTTAAACAGTATAGTTTCAAAACATGCAAATGAGCTGAAGATACATGCAGTCTTCGTTCTGCATTCAAATAGTAGCCATTTATATTAATAATTGTATTAAGGAGATATTTTAAATGTCGGTTATTATTATACGAAAATGTTTTAACGTAAATTCAAATATCAACATTTAAAGTTTAATTCCAAATTCAATATTAGAAGTTTATTAGTATATACCGTTACAGTCTATCAAAATTCCACAACTGAGCATTGGATACCACTTTTTTCAGTTTACCTCTGTCGCCTCTTACTACACCCACGGTATGATACGAGGTACTGAATTCTATCACGCCGTCACTGCACAACTACTTAAATTGTATTTAAATCATTTTACGTGGTACCATCAGAACCATGCTGCAGATATATTGTGGGTTGGCTCGACTGGGGTACGACCACACTTTCACTGATACTAGTGTAAAATAGCAGCGTAATGCTGCTGTGTTTCGTATGGTGAGTGTAGACCACCAGAGACCCTTTTTACTAGGAACGAGGCATTCCATCTCAGACCAGGCAGCGAGGCATTTTGATTCTTAATTGAAGATAAATGTAGATGTCTATGGGCCACAGCAACCACTTACCGTCGGGTGGACTGTGCGCTCTTTTCGACACATGCAAGGAAAAAGATCGTAACTGATTTTTATCAACTTTACAGGAGAGCGCGTCAAAGATTCAAAAAATTCTTATATAGTTCTGTTAAGTCCTAGCGCCATCTCACCGTGAAAATTTAAGTCAGCAAAGGAAAATCTACACTTTCATATCATTAATGTGTTATTAATATATGTATTCTATTATTTTTTATGAGTTACAATGACATTACACGATATAAACTTTATAAAATGACATTGTAACTGAAACATACAATTCAATTTTTGTGTGTTAATATTTACTTCATTAAGTGAAAAACAATGTAAGTCTGAGATACAATGCCAAACATGTATTTTTGTGTGTTTTGAGTTAATGTAAGAATAAAACGTTGTGAAATAATTAGGAAAATCTTTATTAATTTTAACTATAAAAATCTCAAAATGCAAGGAATAAATCTTGTTGACACACCAAAACAAAGTCTTTCATAGTTAAGAAAATATAATAATAATAAATGTCGTTTTGCTAATTTTGGTTAGTTCTTGCTTATGTTTTAGTATAAGCTTTATTTAATTTTCTTTTGAAATCTGTTTAAGGTCTTAAGTATTGGATCCAATCAACTATAAGATAAGCATTACAGTGAGGTCCATGAAATTCTGAATATCACAATTAATAACAAACTTTAAAATATTTAAAGAAACAAAAATTACAAATTTAAGCAACAGAAAGTATTACAATTATTACTCTATAAACAATCACAAGTCTTGCAATCTCTAACCAACTATCTAAAATCAGTTTATCAATTAATAAAATAAATTCAAAATATCTAGAAAGAAACATTTGAAATTTAAGGAAAAATAATTATTACAAAAGAAATGTCATTGATTATGTACATCAAAGACTTTTCTTTCTTAAATTTTAAATGTTTGTTTCGGTAAGATACTTTAAAATGTTTAGTATGCATACAATATAGTAATTATATTGTATGCATACTAAACATTCGATTATATATTACTTACTAAAATATACATAATAGTTTTAAAACACAATACTTAATCAGAATCAGTCATATTATTTGGTAGAATCGTTTTCACATGAGGTAAATTTATAAAATAATCATGATATATTGTTGGAATGGCATTGCTATTACATAAGCTTATTAAATCTTTGTACTTTGCTGTAGATAAAGGCAAAGGTGCATTATAAGCCTTTGAAATCGGTAGCTCTTGTTCACTGTTTTGAGGTTCCTTGGTAGCGCGACGAGTAACTGCCCGAAGAGAAACTGTCATAATATCTTGAGCTAGATTTATAGCAATTTCATTGTCGCTCAGATAATCATATTGAAATTTAATTATATTAGGTAAGCTACTGATAAAATGAATATGCATAATTTTACTCCAGGAGACTTTCACATGGTTAACGTCGTGTTCCCAATTTTTGTAACATGGCAAAAGTTGTTTAAAATCCAATATATTGTCTTGGTTTACTTCCTTGACTTCATACGGCTCACCACTAGATTTAGCGCATCTTATCAAAGTCACCCATTGCTGAGGTACGTAGATAATTTTATGTTTTTTCCTTCGCTCAATAAGTGCATGCATCGCATCACCCTCTGATTGTGAATATCCAACTTCAAAGAAGTGATGATTTATATTTATATTAAATATTCTGCTAGCATATGCATACATTGCGAATACTGTCTTATTTTTATTCTGACCGCCACAGCTATCAGAATAAAAATTAAACTCCTTGTATCCTTCCTGAACCCTAGTTTTTATGAAGTCGAATACAAAACTACTTATTTCGTTAGATCCTTTGCGTCCGATCGTCTCGTCCCACAAGTAGCAATACCCTTTATGTTTACCCATATCATAGATCGTAAAGTTATATGTAGCAAGTTTTCTTTTGTAGTAAAATACGGACACTTCTGAATGAGGAGTATTCAAAATTTTTTGTAAATCATAACAAGCTGTTACAACAGAATCAGAGTGTTTAGCTCGGTGTTTGTCACTATCTTTTAAAGATCTGATCACATTTTTGTTTGCAATATGTAAAGCGTACTCATACTCTAGCTTAGTTTTGTCAGTCTCAGTTGAATTTTTAAATAAATCACACCTTGGACATTGGTCTTTTTTTGGTTTGTTAAAGTCTATATTAAAATCTGTCTTAAATATCTCCCTATACTGTCTTGAAGTCGCAACCACCTGATCGGAATGTTTTTCATTCATCCATTCCAAATAAAGTTTGTAGAGTATTGGAAAGTTTAGTTGTTCATCCAGATACTGTTTACATGTCCTGTTTCTCACATAGTGTGAGTCTACTAATAGCATTTGTGAAATATGTTCTCTAACAGATTGTTTGACTTGATCTGGAACGGCATTTTTGCGCGTGCCGTGTCTACCTCTTTTATCGTTTATTATAGTACCTGTAGCAGACTTATCAATTTTTTTAAATAAAGTCTGCAACCACATGTCGCTTATAGAGAGGGTGTTTAAAAACATCGTCTTACAGGTTCGTATTTCTTGACCTTCTATAAACAAATTGTATTCAAAAGACCACTTGCGCCTACTGGATGAGGCCGAGGCGACAATAACTTGTTTTTTTGGGACTCTTCTAACAAATCGGCTAATGTAATCCATTTGTTTATTATGATCCCCCAGTTCCCAGAAGTTTTTAAATATTAAACTTCTCTGGTTTTCTGTGATTGCTTCTCGACATTTACGTGAACAATTAGCACCACAGTCTGGTTTCATAATTTTTTTCGCTATTAACTGCCCTTTTCTATTTATAAATTCCTCGCCCAAATTTTTCTTTCGTTTACATATTTCAGCCTTCCAATTTTCTTTATTCAAAATCTCTTCCTTCCTGGGTTAACTTTCTTCGGATATTTCTTTTTTCTTTAGCATTAATGTGTGACGAAATTCTAGGCTCTTCTGCGTTAGTTTGACTACCATTCCCTATTACATTACTTTGTTCTTTAGAGGTTCGTATTCCAGGTTTTATTGCATCACTAAGTTCTTGGTTTTGCACTAAAAATACAACAGGACGTTATTAAATCGCTTTTAAAAATAAATATCTTTATTTCAACGTTTTACTGCTGTTATACTCGTAGTATTCAAGTAGGTAAACTTACCAATTTCACGTAAAATATCCTCTATTTGTTCATTATTGTAATTTTCTATGAATTCATCATTTATTGATTCTGTATCGGCATCAGGTGTTAAAACAGATGGAGCTGAAAACATATGACATTAAATTTCAATAACTTGTTTTTTTTGTGACCGAAAAATCAATTTTAAATTTTAAGCTGCCAGTACAACGAATACTGATACCTACACAATATGTCAATATTTAACCTAGATCAGGATTAATTTGGTTGCACCATACACACGAACTTTGGTAATATTTACGATACTTAATGTAATAAAAAATACCTACCGTTTTCTTGAGGTGGTAAATATTCTGAAACTACTGGTGAGTAAATCTCTTCGGATTCATTGGAGACTGTTTGATCATTCTGTATTTTTACCGGAGTGCGTTGTCTTAGGTTATATTTAAAACTTAGTAAATCATTTCCTATAAATAAAACCATAACATTAATCCACATTAACTAGGTAGAACGTAATTAACTCAAATCTAACATACTTCCAGTCCAGGTTCATACGTAATTTTAATTGACTTCATTATATACGTACCTGTCTCGATAAAATTTGGTGACATCCTCCTTTCCAGTGGTACATTATTCTCAACGTCATTATTTCGATTGTTCACATGTTCGTCTTCTAAAAAAATCGTCTATTGCAGTTTGTACATAAACTAATAATATACCTCAAAATTACTGCATGTAGATATTTATGAGGTCAATCATAATATTCATGTGAATACTATAGTACTTATTCTAAATTGCAAATAAGATGTTATAACAATAAGTGGATGATATGTAAATATTTAAAAAAAATGATCATTTACTAACCTGCGTTACTGTCCGTAATTTCACTTTTAGCTAAAACTAACGCAATTATCTTACTACGGCGACTCAT